ATGAAATTTATTAGGACCCGACACTCTTAACCAAACTTTGTGACATTTTTTTAATTTTAATTTTGATTCATACATCATTATATAGTAAAGAGTGTTTCGGCGGTTTTTTAAAAAAACGGCTATATGCCCTAAGGCCCGCCTCATCAGGGGTCCACCTTAGCAGTTGTATTCTTGTGGTAAACGTGATCTAATAATCATATCTTATGCTTTTGTGCTTGCTATTCAACTGGACATGTTTTCATTTCAAATATTTTAAGATGCGTCTTTTTAATCCTTTGATATTATATTTTGTAACCATAACAATGGATTGCAGAGTTTAGATTCACTGTTGTTTTTGTTTAGCATCTATTTCTGTCCGTTCCAGTTACGTCTGTGATAATAGGGTCTATTTCTGTATCAGAGTAGCCTCTCTTTGACAAGTGTTTCTTGAAGTCTTGTAGGATTGTGCTGAGGGTTGCATTGTCATTGGTATTTCTCATATGTCTAATGCATTCTCCCTTAATGAAACCTTTGAATACTGCTGGGTTGTGAGAGCTTTCTCTGTGTAGATATTGAAAATTATTTGTTGGTTTAATGTACGACTTAATATCTAGTTTGTTGGATTCTTGGAATTTTCTTCCTTTGTACACTGTTGTGTCTAAAAAATTCACAGAGTAATATTTCATATTCAAATGCGGGTGGCATTGATTGTTTGAAAGAAATCAAGAATCTCATTTCAGACCCATAAAATAATAAAACCATCATCTCTAAATCTGCCGTGAAACAAGACTTTATTGGCATATTGAAATTGCGCCATGATTGATTGAGTTATCTGGAACATTCTTATATCAGATACCTCAGGGGAAACAGTTGAACCCATTGCGCAACCGATTATTTGTTTAAGGACAAATTTAGATTCATTACACATATTTCGTTAATTTAAAAAGAACACACATCTCTAACAAATACTTCTTTCTTTTGCTAACATTCCCTCTCAAAAACAAGGTGCTTAAATGATAGTTAAATATTAATTTGTATATACAAATAATGCATCTAAAGAAGGAATCAGTGAACATCATTTTAATTCCACCGCCTTCATTGTAATAATAATTCTAAACAATGTAGGATCCCCCCTTCTTATCTCATGCATTGATTAGCTCCGACATTTCAAATCAGCTATTAATCTGAACTTTATCTGATTAACATGATTAACAAAGCATGGGTTGAAACGCACGACCTTTGGGGTTTTTTTCTTCACGCCTATAGAAAAATTTACATATCTTGGATCCCCTACTTTTATCTAACAGATAGATCCGCCATCTTGGTTTTACACCCTTAGAAATCCGACAAATCTTAGATCCGTCACTTTCTTCTAACCGTTGAGCCGCCATATTGGATCTACCCCAGGCTAGAGCCGCCATATTGGATCTAGCCTTAATCTCTTAATCCGATTAGTAAATTATGGGTTGAAATGCACACCCCAAAATTTATGGGTCGAAAATTTATGGGTCCAAATACTATCTCCTTATACTACTAATAAGGACTAATAAGTCAAGCACCGTTTAGTGTGAATATATATATATATATGTAAAAAAAAAAAAAGACAAGAACAGCATAATTTACCATCCCATTGATTAAATTATACAATTTACTTAAATCTTTTTTGAGATCATAGAAGCGGTCCTTGTAAGAAATATACAAATATTGAGTTCAAGTGAAAGAGGGTATAGGCGCCACAGATTTAAAAAAAAGTTAATGTGCAGAAATATTTTAATCGCTTTTAAAAAAGCTTTATTTTTTAAAAAAGATAGAAGTTAAAAGACGGTTTCAATTTGAGATATAAATTCAAAGAAATTTTCAATTTAAGGTGCCGTGGTATATAAACCATCCATATGCATAAGACAATCCTTTATTTGCCTTTTTACTATGTTTCTACTCCAAAACTAAGACAGGCGAAGAAAATAAATTGCATAAACAATGAAAACTTAAGCTTTAAACATTTATGATAAAATATTCAAAAATGTAAAAATTTTAAATTCCGTTTGCATGGATGTAGCGAATGTATATTTCTTTCATTCATGAATTTTTATGAACGAAAAACATTTTTTTTTTAAACAAATTAACATACATTGTATCTTGGCGTATCTGAATTTATTCATCAATTTTTCGGGGATACAGAAAATACATGGTGTTTTTATCCTATCGTAACAGTTATAGGGAAAAAGGTACGTGCGTGTGTGTTTTCAATATCGGGATCGATGTACTTTTTGCGAGGGGGTGCCCAGTTTTGCGCGCTGTGTCCTTCAGCATGGGACTCTCTCTCTCTCTCTCTCTCTCTCTCTCTCTCTCTCTCTCTCTCTCTCTCTCTCTCTCTCTCTCTCTCTCTCTCTCTTAATCTTTAGGTGTTACATGTGCTTTATGTATTTTATACTAGTAGATTAAATCAAAATATTTTATATAAAAAGAATAATTTGTATGTATTTAAACAAATATTATTTCCCTACTGATTATGTTATAAACCGTTCCTAGATTCTGTCTAGACCCACATCCCCCCTTTACGAAATTACTAGATCTTCTCTAAAATATTATAAGAATAGGAATTCCACACGACATCCCCTAAGAATAGTTACATACTAGTCACCTGGAAGAAAAAAATGAATAGTTTCTCAAGTTTTTAATTCTCAAAACGATTGAGGTTCTTTAAATAACATGTAATTATAAAAATTTTTGAAAATTTAATTAGACGCAGGCGACGTCACTACGTTTTCAGTGAGTAACGTCAAAGTTGTTTTTGGAGCGCCTCACTAAAATGCTCATAAAATAATGAAAAAGTGAAGCATTTTCAAAATTTATGTATAATTGCATTCAGAAGGAAAAAATTACCAAAAAGTCATTTTTTTTTTTAAAATTTGACCTTAAGGGCTTTCTTCTCGTGACGGCAGTCATATATATATTTTAAGATCACCAACAGATTTTGGTATTTTTTAACAGTTCCGTCAATCCGAGAGAACGGATTGTATAATTCGTAATTTCGGTTTACTTTCACACTTTTTTTGAGAATCTCTTGTCCCTTCACAGCTATTTTAGGGCGATCTATTGCTTTCTGTTTACGTCATTGTACATCTTCCTTCGTGCAATGCGCGTTATCAGTTACATATTTTCAGCTTCTTCTCTGAAACCACTCAACCAATTTCAACCAATTTTGGCACATAGCATGATTTAAATATCTATGTATGAAGGGAACAAAAATTGTGAATTTCTTTTAGTCTAACTCTTGGGCTGGATAAAAACACCTAATACTGATGTAATCCTTAAAAATCTTCTCTTGTACATTGAGCCGCCAAACTGTTGGCATATTTATGTGGGTCTTTGTCTAATATATATCATAAAGATACATAATTTCTGTAAAATCTTCTTCTCTGCTCCTAGGTATTTCAAATTTCAATTTTTCTTTAAAAATATTCCTTTATATCCCTCAGGGCTGTATATAAAAATAGGCGCAGAGTTATAGTGATGAACTGTGCCTTTCTAAAATTATAAAATTTAGGCAGATTACTCCACTTGTAGACCCACCCCCCCCCCACCCCCCAACAGAATAACAACTCTTTAGTATGCATTGTAAAGATGATTCTTCTGTACGTTGACAAGGATTTCATTTAAACAAAGTTTTCAAAATATAAAATAAGGACTTACGAGGGTTGTCCAAAAAGTTCGTGGACAATGACGTTTTTGTGAAAATAAATAGTTCTATGTAAATCTGTTGCATATCAAAATATTTCTTATGAAAAAACAAATCAGAATGATTTAATTTTCATTGATGAAACGTAATATTTTTGTAAAAATCGGGGTCTTTAAAGGTCGCAGATAGTGCGCACGGGCCAAGGTTAAAATGGTATAAACTCTGGTTTAAAGTGTTCGGATTAAAATTATTATTTTCTGTATAAAACAAGTCAAAATTTATAAAAAAAAAAAATTCATGTAACACAAATTTCTTAAGAGGCTATAATCATTTTATGATATTTTAAGTATCGCTTACTATATAGACAACGAAAATACTAAAAGAAAACCCAAACAAGTACATGTCAAGACTCAACAGAAAAAGCGATGTCGGCTGTCTGCACGGGGCAGCGTCCGATCAAAAAATTAGGTTTTATAACGGTTGAAACGACGTAAGAGACAAAATATTTGTTAACACAACTAACAAATTTAAAACTATTGAGATATATTAAATGTATCGATTTGAAATTGAAATATATGATTTTTCAATTATGTGTACAAAGGCGAAGACACTACAAGAATTTAAAAACACGTGTAATTTACTAAAAATGGAGATTTCTATTCATGACGTTGTTATAAATATAACGTAGCGTTGGACTGGGCTGTGCAGTTTGAGTATACAAACTGTTTATTTAGATGACGCTCGTAAATTTTTGTGCATTGTTTTTGATTTTAAAAATTAAATAAATTATAATCTATACTTAAAGATTATTGCAAGCACTTTAAAGTGCGTTGCGCCTTAAAAAAGAAATGTAGTGTGTGTCCATCAACATGTGTTAAGTCAAAATCAAAATGTTTGACGTTATAATGAAATAAGCGTAACGTCAGACGGGTCCGTGCATAAAACCGGCGATCTTTAAAGACCCCGATTTTTACAAAAATATTAAGTTTCATCGATAAAAATCAAATCATTCTGACTTATCTTTAATGAGAAATATTTTGATATACAATAGATGCATATAGAACAATTTATTTTATCAAAAACGCACGAACTTTTTGACAACCGTCGTATTTTAAACCCACAAAAGTATTGCTCGAAAGGTTTATCACTCCATCATGTAGATATTGATTAATTTTGTCAGGCAAGCTTTTTAAAAAGCTATTAACTTGTGACTCCAGTAATGTATTGTTCTAATGCTATATTTAGCAAAAGATATGCAGGTATTTCCAGAGCTATAGTTAGAATACATTGATCTTATTTCGAAAAGTTGTCATTAAAAGGTCATTTGTGTACGTGGAAAATTCCAAAAAGATGTAGAAATGAAAGTACTTCAGTTTGAAGTATATAACAGACGATTCTTATCGACTTTCGCAATTAATCATTTTCTCCCCAAAACTGCACATATTGCGTAAGTAAATGAGAACCATTATGTTAAAAAGATTTCGGTGCCGACATGCATGATTTTCATTCATGATCAAATACTGAAGAAGCTGATGATTATTGTATTTGTATTTTTAGACAGGACGTCGACTGTGCCACATCAGTAGCTGACCAATTCTTGAAAAGAAACAGATCTTCGGAACAATTAATATGTAAGTTGATTTTAGAGTATTTAATGACATATATGTTTTAAATATTCATTTGGAGGAAATTCAGATATATATATACATATATATTTTAGGTCACCAGCAGAGTTTGATAATTCGTTGTAATGTTATTGTCACTCCGAGTGACGTATTGTATAATTCGCGATTTCGGTTTACCTTTACACTCTATTTTGAGAATCTCTTTGCTTCAGTTATTTTAGGGCAATCTATTGTTTTCTGTATTCGTCGTTGTGCATCTTGCGGCGTGCGATGCGCTTTATCATTTGCAAATTTTCAGCTTCTCTGAAACCACTCAACCTTTTTCAACCACTTTTGGCATATAGCATATTATCTATGTGTGAAGGGAAAAAAAATTGTGTATTTCTATGAATCCTTCTCTTGGGTATATAGGACAAAAATCCCTAAAATTAATGTAATCTTTAAAAATCTTCCCCTATACATCGAGCCGCCAAACTTGGCATATTTAGGTGGGTTTTTGTCTAATATATATTATGAAAATACATTATTTCTTTAAAATCTTCTCCTCTGCTCCTAGGTATTCCAAATTTTGAATTTCTTTTTAAAATTTCGTTTTTTTCTCTCAAGCCTATATATAAAAAGACAAGAAAACATTAATGTAACCATCAATTGTCGTGCGGAAAATAAATAAAGTAAACAATGGAAATCAGTCTTGATTATCAAACCACTTTGAAATGTGTGAAAAAGGCATGCGTCTAAATGATGGAGACGATAGTCGAGAATATTTTGAAAACTTAAAGTCGGATGAAAATCGACCAAAAACGATACCCATTTTAAACTTTATCAATTCCTCAAATAAATGTTGGCTGCATAAAATATCAATTGAAACTAGACTCATGTATCACCTAGATATTAAAAAAATGCATTTCACTTTAAGAATATAAACAAGAACTGTGTAGAGTATGTTTTTACGCGGGTAGTTAAATTCGGTGGTCTAAAAAAGGGGACCTGTCGTTTTTTCAATAGTAAATGAGAAGCAACTTTATATATTTGATATCAAAAACATATATATTTTTACAAATTCACTTTATTGAAGTAAATATATTATGTATATCGTAATTTATAAAGGGAAAGAACATTCCGATTGACAATCTTTCTAATGTTTAGACAACCTTTCGTTCTAAATAACTTCTCCCACCTCAATCTCCATACACCAACACTTAAACTTATATGTATAGAGCAACCCGGTCCTCCGGGCTGCAATAATTAAGGCGCATAATTATGGTCATGAACGTTGGATCTCTAAAATTGTGAAATTTGGGGCCCCAGGATAAGGAGTTCTGCAAGAAAGGAACCGGGGCTCTATTAATTGTATTGTGATTTGTATTATTTCTTTGAAAATCTCCTTTTCGAGTTCTGAAAATTAAGCCGCTGTATAAAGTACTTAGCGATGATTAAGAAAGGATCTTCTTTCAAAATTATGATTACTAGACCCATGGGTCAGGAGTTCTTGTGTTAGGGGTGGCTATATTGATTATATCGTAAAAATGCTTAAATTCAAGATTTTATCATTAACAATTTTGAAATTTTTTGGCTCCTGTTTTCATGAAGGGTTTTGCGGTAGGGTGGGGGGGGGGGGTCTATTGGTTTTTTTTTTTTGAAAATCTTCTCTGCAGATGAAGGTACCTACATGTAGCAGATAAACCAAGTACATACTCGTAGTTATGATAAGCAAAAAGAAAGAAGGAAAGGAACATTTCTCCACTTCCAAACACGAAAATCCTAATTCCTATTTTGGCGGAAGGGGTGTCGAACTCTTCTTTCAGTAAAATTTTCAAACACTACCATTTACCCTTCTTTTACGATACACTTCAATGTGTCTGTTAAAAGTCAAGGGGGGGGCAAACCTACGCCCCAATATCCAATAAATGCCTATATTATGTTTATCTTTGCTATCCCCCCTGGTCCGACACCTTTATATTTATATCATTTATAGAGGCCTATCTATATATAATTAATATCATTAACTTGTTATATTAAGGTCGGGTTCAATTTTATTCGGGATCGAGTTCCCAATACCCGGTATTTAAATCCTGTGGAAACAAAGGTTATGGTAATTTTAATGTTAATAATTTTAAATTTAATAAGGCACAATAAGTAGGGGTGTATTAACCAGATTTATAGAAATTCTGGTATTCTTGGGTCAATTTATTAATGTCTACTTGAAGAATTTATACTCTTTGCTATTCAACTGCTATGGTTTATCACTGTAAAAAATGACACTTTTAGTTTTAAAAAGGTCAGTATTGAATAACAGAAGTGCGAACAATAGTCTTATTCTCCTTCCTACCTCCAAGTCAATTTTCAAAAGTTGACATATTTGAATGATATTTTACTTAAAGATTTTTAAAGATATAATTATTTACTTTATATAGATTTTCTGATTTCATAAAACGTTACTTATTTGAGAAAACAAAGAAAGATAACTCTATAATTCTACTAAAAAATTAAGAATAAAATTGGCACTAGAAATCAAATTCTTATTGCTGCTTCCTTAGGAGATGACAACCTATATAGTAATGGTGTAAAGGATAATTAGCAAATTCAGATTGATAAATTAAAAAAGAAACTTAACCTTCCATCATTAGATATAACTGATAACACATTCAGCAGCTGCTTGAAAATTGTTTACATAAAAAATGTTAATTTGCGACTTCAGCACATTGAATTCTCCAAATGTGGTAAATTATTATTTTTCAGTCAAACTAGAAAAAATGATGAATTACAAGACTACTTAAAATACCCAATGAATAAAGCTATACGTTCTAAATTAACAAAACTGAGAATTTCTGCACATCCTTTAGAAATTGAAGTAGGCAGATATTCAAAGCCATGTATCCAAAAAGAATCCCGTTTTTGTCACTGTTGTTAAACTTGTAGAAAGTGAAATACATTTCATATATGACTGTCCCTTATATATAGATTTGCGAAACAAGTACTGTCATCTGTAATTTAAACGATAAGATATAGAAAAAAAATCATTGTAAAGTATTCTGTAATCCTGACAATGCGGTTCATTCTAGAAGGCTAAGTGAATTTTTATATGAATGTTTTGCATTGCGTTCCAAAAATAAAGCGCAATTATAACATATTTAATGCACTTTATCATCACTATCCCTACTATACTGCTTGCATAATGATTATGTTTAATCTTCAAGTTGTATAGTTGACTCTGTATAGTTGACTTCACTGATCCATACATTTGCATGTATGTATGTATTTTATTATTTGTCTTTTATATGTAACATGGTTGTATGCCAACATGTTTGGTGAATCAATTAAGAAACTGAATTGAATAATTTTGGTAAAACTTGTGTTTTTTCACTATAGAAATCAATGGAAAATAATTTAACCCCCCCCCTCCCGTGAAACAAAACTTCCTCTTAGCAGGTAATATGGAGAGTCATTTTTCAAATTTATGCGAAGCTTTTGTGATACACAGAGGGATATGTTTATAGACAAAAAAACCTACAAAAATGCTTATTTTTCACTAATTTCAAAGCGATTTACAACTTTATAATAGTATTTTATTAATTTGTATGTGTTTTATTGATTTTCGTATCATATAAGAAAAGATATAAGAAACATTTTATCATACTTTATACTATTTTAAAATATGATGAAGCTTTAAAGTTTGATTTCAGTAGAAAATATCGTCTAACATCCTTTATTGTTTTTCAAGAGCTGGAATTAATATCAACTATCTATAGCTGGAATTAAGATGATAAATAAATTGTAGGGATCGTTCATTATACTCAGGTGATTGTTAAGGTCTTTGGGCCTCTTGTTTTTGTTTCTTCTGAAATTGCGATATATGATCGCTTTTAGAAAAATCATCCTTACACAATTGAATTACTTGAAGGCCAATCGTTTATAGGAGTCGATCAATGGATGTATTGAAATTCTTATCAGCATTCGATTCTCACGCAACATCTGTCAAACTAATACATGTTCAGATAATAAAGCATATAATATAACAGCTGAATTCGACATCTTTCTCTCAACGATTTTCCGCAACTTCATTCTGTAGTTTCAATTGCAGTTTCAATCGGACAAAATTGAAAACACTTTAGATAAAGAATTTATGAAGAACAAGTTTCATTCTCAAAACAAGTAAACACCTAAATATTTTTATATTGTAAATAGTTTAGGTAAAAAAAAAATAGCGCTGAATAAAGGAAATATGAATATCCATTCTTTTTCATCTACGGAAAGATAAAATTAATTTCGATTCGTCTGCTCGTCCCTCCGTGTAGGTGTATTTCTGTTTGTCTGTTACACTTTCGTTTTCACTCGATACCTCGAGAAGCCTTTGAGCTGCAACATGAGGTTATTACATAACACATATCGTGTACCCACGCCATACGCTGTTATATTGAAATATTGTTTAGTATTTTTATGTTTTGTTTCTGAAATTCTTTTAATGATCTACCATATTGTGTTCTAGCACTTTCATTTATAGTTCAAATTGATATTCAGCTCCATTTCCATCATTATTATTTTGCAGAATTCAGAAGAAGAGGTTTGAAATGAGTCTGAAAACCATCTATATCATCCTCCTATTTGTCACTTTGTATGAAGTTTCGTCATCCAGTTGTAAAGCAAAAAATGGTGATCAATTGTTCATTTTTTAATTGCTTTTCATGCATACCATTTAATGTCCATGTCAATTGATAAGATTTTATACTTACAGTGATTTTTTTGTTTTGTAAAATGATATTTTTATCATAATTATGCTGTATTTATTATTTGAAGGAGACAAAGATCAAGATTGCTCAAAGAGATATTCAGGTTGGTATAAAAAATCTTAACTTGCATATTCTTGCATTTGGATGACCTTTTGAAATTCATTTAGCAGCAACTTCAAAAAATTGGAAAATAATTTGCAAGTTATACATTTAATAAGTAATTTTTTGTGGTAAGATAAAATAGGAGTTTAAGAAAACCAAAGAGAGTTGGGGGGGGGGGGGTTGTTGATAGTGATAAAACAGACTGTATTGTCATAAAAAATGAAAATCCATCATCCAATATAGTTCCTGTCCAATGGAGTTAAAACAAAGGTAGCCGCACGAGTTTGACAAGCATATAACGCTCCAGACCATTCACCCGACGAAATTAAAATGCCGGTTGAATGATCAAGAAATTAATTCACCTAACTTTATAGAGTTATCACAGAGCATGGGTGTCGGAAGCAGATTGAAAGTGATGATTCGGGCTAATCGAAAGGGGGGCTTCACCAATTTTCAGTGCTTATATAATGTCTATTTTTGCAAAGCCCCGAGCCCCCCAGGTTCCTACGCCTATGCAGAGAAAACTATAAGAAATGGAAATAATGGAAATAATGAAGTTTTGATGTATCTTTTAAAACCCTTCTGAAAAACAACTTGGCAAGAAGAAAAATGAAATATGTGAAAAATGTAACGTGTAGGGGACGGATTAGAGCCAAACCGGCCTCCCCACAACACACAGGGATCGGGACTGATAAGAATCAGACCTTAGGGACAAAACTAAGACACTAATGTGCGCTGCTAAAATATACAAATATGCGAAACGTACTTACAGACTAAATATATTTAACGTATTTACAGAACATGCCAAGAAAACATACTAAGCTAACGAAACTGCAGGCAAAAACCAAATCTGTGCTCTACCGACATAGACAGATCCACAATAGAACAAGACACAACACTTTACAAACACCGTTAAGCGACAGTCATACGCTTAATTAAGTATGACCCAGATAACAGTACCCTCAATGGCCACGAATCAACAAATGTTAAAGCAGGACAATACAGCCCAACAACCCTATAGTCTAGTTAGATACGAGGAAATAAAGAGTTTTAACTCCCCCAATCTTCCTAACTCAAGTACCGATGTACATTCAAATAAACCTAACTACGTCTGCATAAACCTAACTACGTCTGCCTATCTATACAGCGTTCTTTGTTCTGTTCCAACCGCGTGCTCGGCACTCCCCCATCTACTTAGGTGGCAGAGGATAGTTTCGGATTAAGTACGGGTCAAAAAATCGAAAAAATAAGAAAACTGAGGTTTGAATGCATATTATAGAAAATCTTATATAGCTAGAATATTTTATGGGTGCATTTGGAGGGAATTGGTGGCCTTGTATATTTTATTGAAATATGACACTTTAGTATGGAATATGGACTAGAAATACGAAACTAAGCTCAAAAATAGCTCTACCGGTATTTCACCAGAAAAGCAGGGTGAATTGTAGCTTGAAAACGAGGTGGTTGAGCCATTATCTCTTGCTGTTCAGTGGTATGTACAAATGTTGCTCTGCAATTTATGTGGTAGCTTAGGTCATGAGCACGGGCCTGGAAGCTGTTGCGGCTGCGGCAACTGTAGTGAAAATAGGCTTGATTTACATAAAATTTTGAGATTGTCCCTGTGCCATCTTTAGGGCTAATTATGTAAGTTGTACATGTTTTATTCCTAAAAGCTTCAAATTCCTCAAGGGATTTCATCATACCATTATTACATGTAGAGGAAATTAAAAATTTTTTAATGCACATTTTAAAAGCATCTCAATATTACGTAAACCGTCAGTCAAAGGTTTTGATTGCCAAAAAAACTATCCTCTGCCACCTTAGACCCCAGGTGTTACATGTACTCTTGGGATAAAGTAGATAACCCGTCTCCGCGTATTTCGTTGGACACCAGTAACAAATAATATTCTATTCACTACAAACGCAATATTAAATACACAAGTATACTACAATGTTAATGCGCAAATTGACAACCAAACTGAAGCAGAATTTACTAAAATAAGAAAGTTCAAGAAGTCCAATAAATCAGGAATAGGTTAATTGACAAAAATAGTTCAACATAAATTTAGACTTGTATGGCCGATACTACGAATTCCGGAATACTTCAGCGACAAAACTTCTAACATTGTGTATATTCAATTTTGTCATATCTCCGAGAAATGACTCATCAATTTGATTTCCGGATGAAAAAATAGTCCCAGTTTTCTGTCATTTATCGGCTGACTCCACTACGCCCCAGTGCTGTTAAGAGTTTATTCTGAATAGTAAACTTTTTTATACGTAAGTTTAGTTCATTCTCTCCTTTAAATACCAAGTGGTTCGATGGCCATGTCATTTAAAGGAATGAGAAGATTTCGGAAAATCTTTGGAAAGGGTCGGAATTATTTAAAATAGAGTTTTTGTCTGCTGTCAGAGTAAGAAGCTGTGAAACACATGTAATGTCAAAAGATACGCTAAGGTTTTATACAACTTCTTTCAATTTGTTTCAGCAATGAAGAGACAGAACGTTTCGTTTAAAAAATAGTACGGACAAAAATCACTGTCAGACATTTATTTGTTCTGACAAGTAAAATGATCCGTTAGACTGGAAAAAGTTTTGTCAGACCAGATACATGCAACTCATTTTTTACGTTGGTAAAGGGAAAAAATAGTGGCACTTAAATGCTATTCAAGTTTTTTTGATATTCGATATCACGATTTCAAATGACATTAATTTTTAATTTCATGAATAGTTGGTCACGTGTTCAGCTCTAGAACTGAACTTGAAAAATTTGCTTGGCTTTAATCAATAATTAATAAAACAATTAAAAAGAATGAAAACATGTGTATGCAGATCTAGACACAATGGTATAATAATCCCAGTGATCGATATGTGAAAACATATCGTTCCTCGTGTTTTTTTTTCTTGTACATGTAGTAGCTCGTTAAACTATGTTTGATTTTTAAGTACATTTGAATCAAATCAAAATCACAAAAATTAAGTGTCACTTGCGTGGCGCAGTTGTTAAACTAGTTTGCTCTAAAGATTCAAAGTAAGATGTTGATCCTTGCGTCACACGTTCCTGCGGGATGCATTTGGAGATGAACTCTTTTGATGAGACCATTATAAAGTATAACGCGAAATCCCATTTTGCTGTAGGTGCTGGCACAAAACGACCCCTCACTGCTTAATGGTTCTGAGTGCTGTGTATAGGTAAAAATTTATAGACCTACATATAGCTAGCTCCATCGGCAAGTGGTAGTGTCTCAATATGAGAGAAAAATTTTCGAACGTAAAACAAAGAAAATGTAAAGTATTCAGACATACTTACTTCTGTATAGAAATTACTTGAAATGAAATTTCAAATTTAAAATTATGGAATACATTGTATAAAGATAGATGCATTTGATAGAAAAGATAAGCACAGAATTCTATAAAAATTAATTATTGTGTCCGAAAAGAACCATTCATACCCCAAAGAGAAACGCAAATGCTTGTTTTAGTCAGAGAAAGAAAAATGACAATCTAGTGTATGTTGATGGTAACATCGAATATAAAGAGTGTTTGTTTCTTTGTTGGGACCAAATATCTTGTACACATTCAAAAAAGAGAAGGGGGCGTTTTGATTCAAATGCTTCATAAGTATAAGGGCAGTGTTTGAGTAATAAATGGTACTCAAAAAAGTTTTAATCCTACCCACAAAATAGTATTTTCGAGTTTGGAAAAACTATTTTTTTTGGTGGTGGGGGTTGTTGTTTGGTTTAGTCAAATTGTTGTCAGGTTTTTATCAGGGAAGTTGAATTGTTTTTATCTGCCCCCCCCCCCTACACACACTTTCAATAACTATGCTAAGTAAATTGAACTTATTTCTAATGCTTGGGGTTGAATCTCTTTCAAATCTGCAATAACTGACCTGTATCTAAAAGTAGCTGCAGAACTGTAGCTTTCCGAAAAAAATATTTTGGCAGACCGCAGAGCTACAGTGCCACCCATTGTAAAAACAGTACATTTATTGTGCACAAAAGGGTGAGCTTATTTCTTGATTAATTCTTTCTAATTCTTACCTCAAACGTGAAAAAGATTTATAAAAAATCTCTTCCTCTTCTATGAAGTTCGCTTATATTTGACATTTGCACGAAGTGCGTTGGACCAAATTATCTTGCAAACCAAAATTGCAGCGCAGCAAAAATAGACGACATTTTATATGATCTCAATTTTGAGACCAGAAGGGGCTGAAGGGCTATTAACAACAATTATAAGGAATGCCTTTTTGTGGAAACAGTGAAAGAATATTTTAGAACATGTTCGTAATATTTTGATATGTCAGTAAAAAAAACATGGAAAAATAAATCGAGAACCAGCGCACTTTTTTGTGCGCAGTAAATATATAGTTTTTTTCAATGGGTGCCACTGTGGCTCTCCGGTCTATCAAAATATTTTTTCGGAAAGCTACAGTTCTGCAGCTAATTTAAAAGAAGTGCCATGATCTTCGCTATTCAAATGCAATTGAAATTATTTTTAATGTTTCGTGTTGTATCTCCAACAAATTAGTTCTAGCTGACTTTAATCTGAAAGCATGAAAATGTTCCTCTACTTCCTGTGGGATCTTTCAGATTACCATGTTCAACTCCCATGAATACTTTCAGTACTTTGATTGACATCAACAGCTGCAACGTCGAAAACAACGGAGACACAATATGGTGTTTCGGAGAGATTCAATAAATGCTTGGTTGTTAATGATACACCGGGTTTCTTCGATACAGGCACTACAATTTATGAAACATTTGCTGAAATCGAAAAGTTCACAGATATGATAGACTTAAGTTCTCCAGCCATTCATGTTTTATTATTAGTTGTAAAAATTGGGAGACACTGATGAAGAACAAAAGAGTGTCCAGCTTTTATTGGACTACTATGGTCAACAAGTTGAGCAGTGTATGATTGTGGTATTCACTGCTAAAGATAAATTGGATGATGAAAATTTGACCATAGAAGAATACATTAATACTATGGATGACAACTCCAATATCAAAAAGCTCATAAATGACATAGATAGAAGATTTTATTATTATCGGTTTCAATGGAAATATGACAGACCGTGATGAGGAAGTCAAAAGTATTTTGAGAATGATTGAACTGATTGGCAAAAACGATTTCCGTACTTGATATAGAAAAGGGGACTTCAAAACTGTAAAAGATTATACATAGTCTTGATGCTTTCGAGATTATTTGTCCAGTTTTCTTTTATTTTTGTAGTTTAACATATTCATTGCTTTTTACCTGAGCCGAAGGTTCAAAAGAGCTTTTCTGATCAAAATTTGTCTGTCGTTGTCGTTGGCGTTGTTGTCGTTGTCATAAACTTTCTACATTTTCATCTTCTTCTCAAGAACCACTGGGCCAATTTCAACCAAACTTTCCACAAAGTATTCTGAGGTGAAGGGAATTCAAGTTTATTCAGATGAAGGACCATGCCCTTATTCAAGGGGAGATAATTCAGAAATAGTGAAAATTTGGTGGTATGTTATAAAAATTTTCTTCTCAAGAACCACTTTGCCAGGAAACTTGAAACTTATAGAGAGGTATTCTCAGGTAGTGTAAATTCAATTTTGTTCAATTCATGACCCCCGGGGGTAGGACGGGGCCACAATGGCCGATCAAATTTTTACATAGAAATATATAGGAATTTTTTTTAAAAAAAATCTTCTTGTCAAGAACCACTGTACCAGGAAAAGTGAAACTTATATGGAAGTATCCTCAGGTAGTGTAGATTCAAGTTTGTTCAAGTCATGACCCCCTGGTGTAGGGCGGGGCCACAATGTCTGATCGAAGTTTTACATAGAAATATAAAAGAACATTTTTAAAAATCTTCTTCTCAAGTACCACTGTGCTAGGAAAAATGAAACTTATATGGAAGTATCCTCAGGTAGTATAGATTCAAGTTTGTTCAAATCATGACCCCCGGGGTTAGGGCGGGGTCACAATGGCCGATCAAAGTTTTACATAAATTTATAGGGAAATTCTTTTAAACTCTTCTTCTCAAGAATAGCAAAGCCATGAATAATCATATTTATCTAGAAGCATCCTCAGGTAGTGTAAATTCAATTTTGTTCAAATCATGACCCCCGGGGGTAGGGCGGGGCCACAATGGCCGATCAAAGTGTTACACAGAAATATGTAGAAATTTTACTTTAAAATTCTTCCTCTAAGAACCACTGTGCCAGGATAGATGAAAATTATATGGAAGCACCCTCAGATAGTGTAGATTCAAATTTATTCAAATCATGACCCCTGGGGGTCGGGCGGGGCCACTTTTGACGATAAAAGTTTTACATAGAAATATATAGGAAAAGTATTTAAAAATCTTCTTGTCAAGAATACCAAAGGCATGAATTATCATATTTATATGGAAGCATCGTCAGGTAGTTTGGATTCAGCTTTGTTCAAATCATGACATGGTGGATTAAAGTTTTACATAGAAATTTGTAGGCACATTCTTGAAAAATCTTTTTCTCAAGAATAGCAAAGCAATGATTAGTCATATTTATATGGAACCATTCGTAGTTAGTGTAGATTCAAGTTGTTCAAATCATGACCCCTGGGGATAGGGCAGGGCCACAAAGTGGATCCAATTTTTTGCATAGAAATATTGTTGAAAAACTCTTTTAAAATCTTCTTTTCAAGAATGGCAAAGCCATTATTAGTCATATTCACATGGAAGCTTTCTCATGTAGTGTAGATTCAAGTTTGTTCAAATCATGACCTCGGGGGGTAGGGCGGGGCCACAATGTAAGTTCAAATGTAAAGGGCAATAAAGCCACAGGTAGTCAAAGAAATATGCAGGCATCCTTAGTTAGTGTAGATTCAAGTTTGTTCAAATCAAACCCTCTCCCCTTTAAAGATTGGTTGGACCCAATTTTGGGTTTAAACTTTTCAATAAGAATCTGATTTCTGCTTTTTCCAAGCTACAATGCTCAGGTGAGCGATGTGGCCCATGGACCTCTTGTTTGTATATTGCATTGTGTTGTATTTTGAACTTTGAAGATAAGCAAAAAAAGTACAATGAAAAGAGTTTTAATGATTTGTGCAAAATATATCAAATTGATTGTCGACTTAATGGATTGAGCAAGGAGTGTGAAATGAAATTCTAACTAGTTGTAAGCAAACTTGGTTTTCAGAATGAATATAAATGAACTCAGTTATTTTTTTAAGAACATGAGTTGTATATTTTAATTTCAATTTTAACTTTAATATCTCGTTAAAAAAATCCCATACTCAGTCCGAATTTTGATTGTTTGGTCACAAGTTACATGTATGCATTACTAGCTATTATAAAAAGTTCTGCCAAAAAGGGGTAGTAGGATATGTCAGTCTGTAGCGATTACGATTATGATTGACTAGTAACCCTTGTATTTTGAAGTCTAAAAAATTCAATTTCTAAACTTTTGATTCATAATATTATTTGTTGGTTTACATAGGATATGAAATCAGAATCACTGGCATAATAAAACCTCCTTTTACTCCGATACTGAGTTTTTCAAATTTGCAGATGTTGAGTACAATACAAATTGTAATTAATTTGTTTAATCTTTAAATGGCGTGTAGTCAAAACTACAGATATAATTTTATAAAACTATTTTGTATTTCTGAAATATGAATATACTGAGATTGAGACCTTAGGTAATTAAAATCTTAAATTCCTGTTACAGAAATAAATGACGAGGTGCGGATGTTACTAATCGGTAAGACTGGCGTTGGCAAAAGTACCACTGGTAACACCATATTAGGATTTAATGCATTCAATACTAAAGTCTCTGCAACATCAGTCACAACCAAAACAGAGTACAACGAATCGAAGAGATACGGTAAAAAACTGGTCGTTGTTGATACTCCAGGACTATTTGATACAGGTCGAACAGCAATGGAAGTTCTCAGAGAAATATCTCAGTGCTACTTTCTTACATCTCCTGGTATTCATGCTATAATCTTGGTTGTTCAAGTTGGAAGATTTACTGAGGAAGAACAAAAGACCGTAGATTTATTCATAAAAGTTTTTGGAGAAGATGCGAAAAAATTCATGATTGTAGTATTTACTGGGAAAGATAGATTAGAAAATGAAGACATGACTATTCAGGACTTTGTCAGTACGATGAATAAAAGTTCAAACCTAGCCATTATACTCCATGAAATACAAGGAAGATATATGGCCATTGGATACAGAGGACAGCAGAAAGAACGGGAGAAAGAAGTACGACATATGCTGTCAATGATCGAGAAAATGGGAAAAGACAACGGTCAGTCATTCTATAGCAACGATATTTTTAAAAGAGTAGAAGATATGATAAGAGAAGATGAAAGAAAAAAAATTGAAAATTCAAAGAGCAAAGAAAAAACATACACAGAAGAAGAAGTCCGACAATTAATGAGTGCAGAAAGGTCCAAAACGCGTGGAAATCAACAAGACGGATCGCCGTTTTTACGAATCTTAGGTACTGTTGTAAAGGTATTTACTTCAATAGTTCGGTTTTTTGGATTTTTTTGAATTTGGTTTTCATATTTGGCATTATATACTCGTCCACAATACTATTTGATATCACAATTATGATTTATTGCTATAGTGTAAAACAGAAACCTTATTTAGTGAAACATGTTCAGTTATACATAAAAAACTGATTTGCTATTTTAAAGGCCATGTAAAACTCGTATAAAAGATTAATCTACATGATTGTATTTTATGTATTACATGTTTTTAAAAGGACAACTTTCATCAAACTCATTGTATGAAATAGAATTAAGTTTAGGGCTAGAAAACTTTCCTAAGAATATAGCAGATGTGGTTGTACAATTCAGAAAACGGGAGATGGCTCATTTCTTAGAATCAAAGATACCAGTTTGAAGTAAGACAACATCTTCTTCAAAAATTGTATTCATTTTTAAAACTTTATTTCTCATGTTACTGTAAAATCACATATTTTTGTGAGACCAAATTTTTGGTGTTTGAAGAAATATAATATGGGTTCTTTGGATGGAGAATTGCTGAGTTGTTATGTATATGAAATTTTACATTTCATGGTGGACATAAATTCGTGGGTCTCTTCATACCTCGAAGGAACGAAAATTAAACCCCCAGAAAAATTAGTGATTTCATAGAATACTAGCATTAGTCATTGAGTCATTAGTTATTGTTTGTTTTTTTTCTGTAAATAAAACAAATGAATATTGTTCCACTCTTATTTCAGTTGTTTATACGTATCTGTATACATAACAATCACTATTTCCAGATATTTCTTGATAAAATGTCAGATAATAGTTTATCGAAAACAAATGATAGTACCCTAAACCTTATAATGAAATTTTTCAATATTTTCATATTTTTGTTTAAAAAAACAAATGTCCTCTGTTGGGAACTACTGTCAAGCGTGAAAGGTGTCATTCACATGCGATTCTATTGTTCACTGACCAAAACAATCAGCACGCGGGTATGATAAAGGAAGCAAAAAAGTAATTTCTCGTGAAATTGTGAATTTTTAAAGAAAATATTTAATTTTCATCCTTAAATTAATTTATGTAAGACATCTGACACGGCAGGCCCATGCTAACAATTAAGTGTCTAAATTCCAAAAAGTCTTATCCGTGTGATTAAAGCTATTCTCGAAGATCTCTCTGTAAATTGATATGATTTATAGAATATGCGCGCGGGTTCTCACGCCTTTCACCATTCCCATTTATGATACATGCTCTTTTAGAATAGTTTTTCATGATTATGTTTTATTTTGCTAAAAAAAAATGTAGGATTGTGGAGTTTGCGAATTTTTATACCCCTGTTCGACGGTGACCTTTCATATCTATTGAAACAAAATTGATTATATTTTCAATTGTTCATTTTTTTTCTGACTCTGCATTGTATGTTTATATGCATGATATTTTGTGTTTTTTCATACAGTCATTTATAATGTAAATAAATAGCATTTTTCAACTCACATAATCTTATTTTTGTTTCTTCGTATCAAACAGAGTTAAACTATTGTCAGTGGGTTCACATAAATTATTAAGTTTGATAAATTACCATAACCGCTGATTAACGTAAATTATTATTATCTATTGCATTAAGATAAAAACAAAAGCAAATTTTCCATAATAAAAAGCTAACAGAACAACAATACCCCGGAATTTAATAAATTCTTTGAGTAAAAAACATAGTTGAAAAACATCTATTTTTGCCTAAAAGGTGCTGGTAGAATGAATCCCACTGTCCCGTCAGTAAAAAAAAATTTCCACACATTCGCACGAAACCTTACCCGATGTTTTGAATTTTATACATTTGAACCGAGATTTTTCGTAAAACTATTTATGTCTTCTAATGCTTATGGGCAAGATCACCGCAGCTTTTTTTGCTAATTTTGTAAAAGTCAAATAAAACACTTTCATGAAGATGAATCATGTCATTTATTAAAATGACGGTATAAATGTGAAGAATTCAACAAACAAGAAGGGGATCAGATTCACAAGCTTTCTTATCAGTTACGTAAAATATGATAATGTCTGATCCCCCAAAAATGACTAGAAAAAAGTATCTTTAAGAAAAGACAATCAAAACATCATATTAAAAAGTTAGCAAAAAGATGGCAAATCAAAACAAAATAGGCCACAAGATGTGGTATGCAGGTCACCTCCATGTAAGATGTGACATGCAAATCACATCCGTGCCTTCCAAGGTGCGCTTGCACAAGTCTGTATAGAAGCTGTTAATCACTGGCCTCTCTATACCTTGCATCTTTAAGTAATGAAATGAAAAAATCTACCTTTCATTTTTCACGAGAATATAGTTACGTGTAATATAATGAAGGAAATACATTAATATAATATCCGAGCAATGGTAATAAATAAAAAAAACGTGTAAGTATGGAAGAAAACTAATATCAGAGTAAATGACAAATCAAAAAGTATTGTTAATTGAGCCAGCAAGTAAGCGAAGTCAGGAGGGGGGGGGGGGTATTTGGATATCCAACAGCAGTTATTCACTGACCTGTTAGAGTGGGAATGAACAAGTTCTTTAAGGTATTTGTAATTATAATATTAGAACAAAACAGCAGTTAAACACTAACCTGTATTTGAACTACATCCTTATTGAGTATCTAACTATTTATCGTGAGTAGAACAAAACAGCACTTAAATCACTTACCTGTATTCAAACTACATCCTAGTATCTAACTATTTATCATGAATAGAACAAAACAGCAGTATCTAACTATTTATCATGAATAGAACAAAACAGCATTTAAAAACCAACCTGCAGTTGAACTACATTCTAGAATCGGACAATTGGGAGTGATAAAAAAAACAACGATTAAATGCTAGATATTTGTTTGTTTGTTTGTTTTGTTTTGTTTTTTGTTTTTTTTTTTTTGGGGGGGGGGTTAAGTAGAACAATTAAAACAATAATAAAACATTGACCAATATTTGAACTTCATTATTGTATGTTACCGATTAAGTGAACTTATTAAGTTTAAGTGATTTTAAGCAGATATATCTATGCAATGCATTTGAATTGTGAGTAGCTATCCATATGTAAATTTGCAAAAGATCCAGGCTTACAGGTTTCCCTGCTTTGAAAAATTATTATAATATGCTAGTGACAGGGGGCTATCTATCGAGAGCATGCATATCTCCAGATCTGTCCCTGACAATGGCAATCTGAAACATATCTTAATGAATTATCTCGATGTTGTTCAGCACTTTGTTAACAAATTAGTTTCAATAATTATCATGATTCATGGCTGAGGTCTAGTAATTCTAACAAACTTAAATTTTTACAAATTCTACATATTGATGAGTGAGACTGCTCTTGAGTAGGACACTAAGTCAATTATATTTCTACTTACTACAACATTGAATTATTAACTGTATAATTTTTTTTTAAACCTTGAAGGTTCATAAGCCCTCTGCTCACTTATATGAAATTTTTCTTTAACTTTTATGATTTTCCAGAGGAAATGTATATGCTGAATAAAATACAAACAATTAAATTTGACAAAAAGGCACAAAAACTTGACAAATTTATCAAGAAATGATATTTGTGTCATTAAGAGTTATCTCTCTTATCAGAGTATCAATGTACCTTAAGAGTATCTTCCAAATTGTAATTTTTAAGGATTTGTATCAGAAATTTAACGAATATTAAACAACCCCAAAATACTTGCATAACAACTGTTTCTCTTGGAACTGTAGGGAGAAAAAGGTTGTATCAATTTATTCCATGATGTATGTCCTCTACCATGCGTCTATTCCAGAAAGTATAATTAACAAGTGAAGGATACAATTATTATTTTTCTAAGCATTTTGAATAGGATGTAAAATTCCTAGATTATACTAAATTCACAATGTAATATTGTTGTCAATTGATAAGTCGGTTCTAAAGTTCAGAATTTATTGCAAGTCCAAAAATCTAAATTTCATAAATATAATTTTGAACAAATTTTGTAGATGAAAAAAAACTGAATCACACCAAGAATTTCCTAGATTGACTCACTAACTCACACATCTGTTCTTTGACAACCAGCCAATTAAATTAAGGATAGAAAATTGCTTGAACATAGGGAATCCATATGACATTAAGTTACCACACTGAAATTAGGTAGAGCTAAGCATAATAAATTCAAAGAACTCAATCCTAAGATCTAACCATAAAGTTGATAACATATGAGTAAATGACATTGATATCGTGAGACATGAAAGAGATATCATGAATTATATATAACTGCCATGTGCAAAAATGCCTTATCTAAACATCAAATGAAAACAATTAACTTTCAACCACAGATGTCAAACAAGACCGGAAATTAATAGAACATAGAAATATGTTGATATTTAATAATTTGTCCTTTAGAGACCTTCATAACACATATAAATCATAACAATCGCCCACGGAAATTAAATTTGGAAACATATTTTACATGGGGTTAATAAATGCAAATTCATATTTATAAAAAAAAAATGAATGAAATTAAGGATTAGACAGAAAAAACAATAAAAAATAAATGAAAATAAAAGATAAACAAGTACAATTTACAACATGAGTAATAACTCAAAACAATGCTCTCGTACTTGCGCTTTCATTATGCTGTATATTAGAAACATTCTAAGATAATTTAATTTTGTTTGTTTTATCAATTAATTTCCCAAACGGAAAGTAATAGAAAATCTATCATTTAATTTACTAACCATGGGGTATGTACTAACCTATGAAACTTATGAAAATAAATTTAATCTATATTTACCAGCTACATATATATTAGGAACTAATTTGAAATTTTATGGAGGGAGGATAATTGGAATCTACCTATATGATTTACTTGCTGACTCACCTTCAATTGTTTAATATGAAACCAAATATAATTATCTAGCTGGTATGGATAGTTTGTCAACCAATGGTAGTGGATATCCTGGTTATCGGGCTGATTTAGGGCACACCTGTGGCAGCACTGCTGCAGTTTAGCTGGTACATATAATTATGGATTTTATACCAGTTGATTGCATGAAAGT